GCATACGTGCGGGCTCGTATCCTCAAAATGGACGCTCAGGTCCGCATGGTTCTCACGTAGGGGCACGCGAAAGTTTTCTTGGCGGGAATGCGTTTTCGGGAACGGCGTAAGCTAGGAGGCTGAAATTTCACGGAGATGTTCCTTGGCCGCGTCTAAAACTTAACAAACAGTGGAGTTGTTAAGAGTTACCGTTTTGGTCAGAAATGGTAAATTCCAGTGGTACTCCGGTTTTCCCTGGACACTGCATCAGGCACAGTCCTGTAAATCCAGGAACTCTTGTTTTACGCTTGGATCACTCCGGCTTTTTTTTTTTCAGGAAACATGAGTGGATGAAACACGGGACATGTGCTGGTGATGTAGTAGCTGTGAACGGTGAAATACAGTACTTCAACAAAACGCTCGCACTTCATGACCAGCTTGATATTTTTGGGTAATTTTTTAAATTTTTTTATAAACGGAAACAGTGGTGCATCAAACCGAGGAATTAAGTTTCATTTTAAGGCACGAATTTAGCATTGAGGTGCTGAGACGGCGGGACCGACCTGCATTGTATACGTTGTATGAGTGCATCTTCTGCTTCTGAATCCGAGAATGTTTGGGTATCACTATACGGCGGATTCGGATTCAGCTGACCATTGCAAGTGATGACTGGAGCTTTGTAATTTAATACCACTCTGTGCACTGAGTTCCTTAAAAGAGCGACAAAAAACGATTAAGAATAAACATCGAACACAAAATACACTGTGCTAAATCAGCTATGCTATGGATTACCATTAAATTAGTGCCGTTCTGAAAGTCTTGTTAAAGTGCATTTCAGTGCAAAAAAATTCTGAAAATATATTTTGCAGGGCTCTTAAATCGCATGGATTGACTCCCTCGATGAGTAAAACATACAAGGCATTGGATGTGAGGAAAGCGCTACAGTCTGTTTATCAAAAAAATGTGGAATTTCACTGTTTGAGGGATAAAACAGTGAGTTTCGGATGTTGACGAAAATTTGACTCTTTTGAGTGGGCAACTTTCTCGTGTTTACTCGGCTTTAATGATCCGCTTATCAGTGGTATGTATTTTTTTCTGTGCGCACGGTTTGCATTTTACAGGAAAATGAATGGTTTCTAGCCGATGTGCGCATGTGCTTAAGCAAGGACTTTCAACTCGTGGATTGTGAGCGGAAGAGACGGTCGCGATCGCGATCACGATCCCCTAGAAGAGCGAAACAACGGCCCTCATATCAGACTTGTCCTGCAGAAGGTATCTTATATATAGGTGCCGCATGTCACAGCACTGCAATTGCAATTGCCTGCAGAATTATGACAGTATTGCTGTCATTGCACAATTTACACTGGGCCTTTTCTACCTAAATTTAGCTCATATTTTGTTCATGGGTCTTTCAAAAATCTGTCTTTCTTCATCTTTCTAGGCAGTTCTAGCTTGTTTCCTGTCTTGTTCTTCTATGTGAGCACAATCTGCGAAGTCCGCATTGAATGTCGCTGCTCAGTGATCATCACTCAGTTGACGGGATGGTGAG